TCCGTCGTTCATTTATTTTAATTGCTGAGTAGTATTCCGTTGTATGGACTTACTACAGTTTGTTTACCCATGTACTTCATGATGGACATTTGAGATGTTTTGGACTATTACAAATGAAACTGCTATGAACATATGCTTTGGCTGGGTCGTATAGTGGGTATATATTTAACATTTTAAGAAACTGAGAAACTTTTCCAAAGTAGTTGTACCATTTTACAGTCCCATCAATAGGGTACTAGTGTTCCAGTTGTAACACAACCTTGCCAACACTTGGTATGGTCAGTCTTTTTAAACTTCAGACATTCTAATAGGTGTGAAGTAGTATATCATTGTAGTTTTAGTTTACATTTCCCTAATAATGTTGAGCATCTTTTCATGTGTTTATTTGCATCTGTGTATCTTCTTTGGTGAAAAATAAACACCAGGATTTTTTAATCAATATTACAGTAAGTCAATAAATCAACTTGAAGACAGTTGACATCTTAACAATATTGAGTCTTCCAATCCATGAACATAATATACTTCTCCATTTATTTAGGACTTTTATTTCTCTCATCAGTGTTTTGTAGTTTTCAGCATATAGATACTGCACATCCTTTGCCAAACTTATCCCCACTTCATAAATTTTTTTGAGTTGGGGTCTCACTCTGTCACCCAGGCTGGAATGCAGTGGCATGCTCGCGGCTTACCACAGCCTCAACTTCCTGGGCTCAGGCAGTTCTCCTGCCTCAGACCCCTGAGTAGCTAGGACTACAGACGTGCTACCACGCCTAGCTAATTTTTTTTTTTGTAGAGACAAGGTCTCACTATGTTGCCTATTCTGGTCTTGAACTCCTGGACTCAAGCAGTTCTTCTGCCTCAGTCTTTAAAGTGCTGCGATTATAAGTGTAAGCCACATCACCTGACTCATTTTCCTGATTTTTTTTTTTTTTTTTAATTGGAGTCTCACTCTGTCGCCCAGACTGGAGTGCAGTGGCCGCTCCCGGTCACTGCAGCCCCGACCTGCTGGTCTCTGGGGATCCTTCTGCCTCAGCCTTCCAAGTAACTGGAACTACAGGCACATGCTACCACACCCGGCTAATTTTTTTTTTAATTTATTGTAGAGATGAGGTGTCGCCGAGTTGTCCGGGTGGGTCTCAAACCTGTGGGCTCAGGCGATCCACTCACTTCAGCCTCCCAAAGCGCGGGATTACAGGCTGAGCCACAAGCCCAGTTTTTCCTGATATTTTTAACATCATCTTTTATGACTACTTGTGTTGCATTTGGAATAATGTTTATTGTTATCACTTCTCTGTCCACTGGAGGTCAGTGGTTCTATTAGCAAGTTTTAAGGAGCTGCCTTTCTCTGCACTGTTTATTACCAGATTCTTTTCCCTTTCTTCTAAAAACAACAAAAGCCAATGACTTACTGTTTTCTATGCACCAAGCATGTATTAGGGATTTTTTAATGTATTACTTCCTGTAATTCTTATAATAAGCCCATGAAAAAGTAATTCTAGTCCTTAGAGAGACAAGATGAGAGGTTAAGTAATTTGCCTAGGATCACACAACAAGTAAGTGGCATAGTCAACATTCAAACCCAAGTTGGCCAGATGCAGGACCCACTGCTTTCTAACTTTATGACAGTGCCATGAGCCAGGCATGATGGCTCACGGCTGTAATCCCAGCACTTAGGAGGTCAAGGCAGGAGGACTGCTTGAGACCAAGTATTTAAAACCAGCCTGGGCAACATAGCAAGACCTTGTCTCTACAAAAAAAAAAAAGTTAAATAAATAAATAATGACAGTGCCATGAAGCTGAGCCCTTCAGAAGTTATTTTGCTGAGTACAAGAAGATGGCTATTAAAACAACTCAAAAAGATTCTCATCTGCTGTTGCAATATGAGTAAACATTTTGCAACATCTAAGAAAGGAAAAATATTAGTACAGCTAGAAAGAATAATGTTAATTATAGTTCTGTAAAATGACAGGAAGAAAAGGGGATGACAGAGCAGTCCTTAAGATAAGAGGGCAGCGAGACCTCATCTCTACAATAAATCAAAAAATCAGCCAGGCGTGGTAGCACATGCCTGTAATTCCAGCTACTTGGAAGGCTGAGGTGGAAGGATAGCTGGAGCCCAGCAGGTCGAGGCTGCGGTGGCCGGGAGCGGCCACTGCCCTCCAGTCTGGGCGACAGACTGAGACTCCAACTCAAAAAAAAAAAAAGATAAGAGACAGAGGAAGTATGTGATTTTAGAAATGCTGGGTCAAGAAAACATCCTAACGATTCAGCTGAAATGGTGGAAAAGGAAAAAGGAAGACATTATTCTGAGATGACATGCTTTGGAAAGCTGCTAGAGTAGTATAGAAGCATATGACAATGACCCCTATTGCTGTCACTGCAACCCTTTTTTCCCCTTTCATGAAAATAAAAAAAATGAACTCAAAATAAAGGGAGGAAGAGGAATGTTTAGTGCCAACCAGTGTTGCCTAGCTAAAATGTTTTGGATTGGTTCCCAGTGCCAAAATACAGTACATATATATTTTTGGGAATTTCTTCTACCACATTTTTGTAAATGTATGGATGTTTTGTTTTTTGCAATACCCATACTTTTAAAAAAAAGTCTGTAACCTTTCCTAGACTATGAAGGCAATGTCTTTTTTTTTTTTAATTTTAAATATGTGGAGTACAATTCAGGTTTAGGTATACAAATGTTCATTATGCAGGTACCCTTGTTGATGAGATGTGCCCCACCCTCCCCTGACAGTGTCCCACTACTACCAATCCGTATCTTGTAGTATTATGATAATTGTTCAAGGTCCACTTATGAGTGAGAACATATGATACTCAGTCTTTGTTTCTGTGATAGATCTCTCCTTATTATAGCCTCTAAGTCCATCCAACTTGCTACGAAGTTCATAATTTTGTGACGGCAGTGTCTTCTAAGTGTATTAAAATATGTTTAAAGTTAATGTTATGGCAATTTCTAACATGATAGCTTTTGAACTCGTCAATTTTTATGCCATTTAGTGCTTCTGCCATTTTTTGTTGCACCTCTTCCTCATTTGCAAAATGTTTCCCTTTAAGGACTTTTTTCATCCTGAGAAATATTAAAGTTGCTCAGGTCGAGATGGAGGGAATAGGCCGGGTGGAGCACAGGGGGCATGTCATTTTTGGTCAAAAACTACTGAACACTCGGTGTGGTGTGGGCAGGTGTGCTTATAAATCACCCATCGTGAAATGGCAAACGCATTGAAAGAATCTTCACAATACATTCACTGAAGCCGAACGCAGCATCTCACAACAACGCTAGCTGGTACACTAGTGCCAGTGCGTTCCTAGAACACCCACCATAGCAAAAAACCTGTGCTACAAGGGGCCTGCCCTCCAAAAGATAATTCCAGTTTTGGGGAGTCCCCCCTCGTAGTATTCTAATGAGTGTGAAGTGTCATCACATTGTGATTTTGATTTGCATTTCCCTAGTGACTAATGATATTGAGCATCTTTCATGTGCTTATTGGCCATTTATATATCTTCTTTAGAGAAATGTCAATGTAAGTCCTTTGCTTATTTTTTAGTTGGGTTATTTGTTTTTTGTTGTTGTTGAGTTTTAGGCATTCTTTATATATTCTCAATATTAATTCCTTATAAAATATATGATTTGCAAATATTTTCTTCCATTCTGTGGGTTGCCTTTTCACTCTGTTGTCCTTTGATACGTAAAAAATATTTTATTTTAAGCCGGGCTCGGTGGGTCAGCCTGTAATCCCAGCACTTAGGGAGGCTGAGGTGAGTGGATTGCCTGAGCCCGCGGGTTCGAGACCCGCCTGGGCAACTTGGCGAGACCTCATCTCCACAATAAATCAAAAAATTAGCCGGGCGTGGTAGCGCGCGCCTGTAGTTCCAGCTACTTGGAAGGCTGAGGCAGAAGGATCGCCAGAGCCCAGCAGGTCGAGGCTGCGGTGGCCGGGAGCGGCCACTGCACTCCAGCCTGGGTGACAAAGTGAGACTCCCACTAAAAAAATAAAAAATAAAAAATAAAATTATTTTGATGAAGTCCAATTTATGTATTTTTTTTGTTGCCTATGCTTTTGGTGTCATATCTAAAAAAAATTACCAAATCCATCGTCATAAAGCATGTTTTCTTCTAAGAGTGTTATAGTTTTAGCTCTTACATTTAGATCTTTGATCTGAGTTAATTTTTGTATATGGTATAAATTAAGGTTTCAGTTTCACTATTTTGCATGTGGATATCCAGTTTTCCAGCAACATTTGTTGAAAAATTGTCCTTTCCCCTATTGAATGTTGTGGAAAATCACTCAACCATATATGGGAGGGTTTGTTTCTGAACTTCCTAGTCATGACCTCCTTTTTAATGAGTGCTGTTCCATCTATAAGATAGATACCTCAGAGTATATTCTAACATTGCCCCTTGATGGACATACAGGTTGTGTCTAGGCCTTTGCCATTGCAAGCAGTGTTGCAATAATCATCTTAAAATATATAATCTTATATCTGGTGCTTTTATTTCTCCATAATGTACTCACAAAAGTGGAATTACTAGATCAAGTGATATGTTTAGTTTTTAATTACTGTAGCCAGTTTATTTTTTCCAAAAGGATGTATGAATTCACATTTTTTGACCGGCTATAGATGAAAGCCTATTTCTTCACATCCTTGATAGCAACTTTTTAATGTTTCCTAAAATGATCAGTTAAAAATAGTAAGGGTTAATTTTTTAACAAATGGTAAGGGGTCTTTATCGGTCGTTATTTAACAGTGAAAAATGAAAAGGATACTGATAAATATTTCTCACATATTTGAAAGACACTTTAGTCTTGGTTTAAAAATGATCTCTGTTCCTTCATAACATGAAAAATGCAAGTGAGGACAGTCATTTCTATGTGGAGTTAAACAGGTAAATAAACATTTTTCAAACAATCAGATTTTAAGTGTTTTTCTTGCTTTGAACCATTTTACTGAAGTAAGCAAACTAGCCAATGGCTTCTAATTTTCCTTAGCTTAATGCAGATACTGAAAGAGAAGAAGGAGAAGAGTTTGAAGACACCATGGATGTTTTTGATGACAGCAGTTCCAGCCCTTCTGGCACCTTAAGAAATTATCCACTCACCTGCAAAGTTGTTTATTCCTACAAGGTTTGTATCTCTCCACCATGTTGCTGGTATTAAATTGTGACAACTCTGAGGATACATGGAACTTTATCTACTCAGCCTTTCATACTGTGTATAGCATAAAATTGGTGTTCAGTTAACATTAGAGGCAACGTAAAATAATGGTGAGGCGTTTAGGTTCATATGTCAGGCTACCTGGGTTAAAATCTTGTCTGCCATCCATAAGCTGTGTGACTTTGCACTAATCCTTTAGTCTCTGTGAGCCTCAATTTCCTTATCTATATCAAAGGTATAATAGTGCAGGGTGAATGTGAAGATTAAATGAAATGATACTTTTATAACAAAGCACTTAGGACAATGCCTGGCATCTAGTAAACTCTTAGTAAATAGAACTCTTACACTTATTATCAGTTTCCTCTTGGCATAGGTTTCTCCATTAGGGTGACCCTCAAAATTGATATCAAAGGAAAATTTTTAAAAGCCTTGCCTTTCCTCATCCTAATATAGCCACCTCTTTGAATTCATGTTAAGCAGGGGCCTGGATAAATAGATGCCAGAATTTCCAAACCTGATTTGGCATAATAGTTCTTAATCTCCTACCTCTGCTCTGCTTTCCCATAAACTTTTTACTCAGCACAAAGTAAATTGAGTTTCAGTTCCCCAGTTCCCCTTTCCCTCACTCCCCTCATCCAGACCATCAGCCAGTGCTACTGAATCCACCTCCAAAACATATCCTAAGCCTATTCACTTTTCACCATCTCTACTGCCACTAAGTTGGTCTAGGCCATTGCTTTGGTTAATGCAAAAGACAAAAAAAAAACCTAATTGATTTCCTTCTTCTATACCTGGCTCCCAACAGTCCATTTTCCATTCTGCAGCCAAAATGATTGTTCTCAGATAAAGGAGATGGTTTTATCCCTATTCGTAAAATCCTTTGTAAACTTTTCATTACATGTAGGAAAAAGCCCAAACTCTTCCTTAGGATCTGTTAATGTCTAGTCTGATCTAGCTCTTGCCAGGCCCCACAGTGCCATAGCTTCATGTTAGACCATTCCCCGTCTTACCCATTCATTGCACGTTGACCACTCTGGCTGCCCTTCAGGCCCCAGAGCACCAGGCTCCTTCCAGACTTGGCATCTTTCACTAGCTGCTCCCTCTACCTAGAACTCTCTTTCCCCAAATCTCAGTATGCTGCCCGTCATTCCTCACTGAAGCTCAGCTCAAATAGTGCCTTAGGTCATCCCTAACCACCTGACTACATAACCAACTCCTCAGTCACTGTTCTCTGTCTCATTGCCTCTTTTACTTCTGTATAGCACTTAGTACCAAGCAGAAATTGTGTCTGTCTGTGTGCCTTTTCTGTGTCTTTAGCACCTAGCACAATGCCTAGTCATAGAAGGTCATTAGTAAATAATTGTGAAATGAATAAATGAACAATGGAAGACATGAACAAATGAGTTATTCTCCAGCCCCCATTCAGATGGAGTCATAAATGAGAAAGGACAATGCTAAGAAATAACAACAGAGCCAGGGTCTGGAGAGAATCTTCAACTGTTGTACACCACCATCTCTGTGTAGCCAAAATGTGGCGGTGTTTACTCCTTAATATCAGTAATTCTTGCCTATTGAGGTTAACGTTAACATCTTTTCATTATATATTTAAATTCATAATACTCCTTGTTTTCTAAAAGGGTTGGGATTTTTTTTCCTAATGCAAATTCTTTTGCTAATGTTTTGAAATTTTTAAATTATCGTCTGAAATACTTGAAAAGGTCATTATAGGTTATTATAAAACTAGAGACTATTTCCCAATGTCACCTCTCATTTTATTTACTTGAAAGTTCCAGAATTAGGCCGAGCTCAGTGGCTCAGCCTGTAATCCCAACACTTTGGGAGGCCGAGGCAAGTGGATTGCCTGAGCCTGTGGGTTCAAGACCAGCCCGGGCAACTTGGCAAGACCTCGTCTCTACCACAAATCAAAAATTAGCCAGGCACGGTAGTGCGTGCCTGTAGTTCTGGCTACTTGGAAGGCTGAGACGGAAGGATTGCCTGAACTCAGCAGGTCGATGTTGGAATGGCTGTAAGTGTGCCACTGCACTCCAGCCTGGGTGACAGAGTGAGACTCTAATTCAAAAAAAAAAAAGAAAGTTCCAGAATTAAAATTTAATATCCTTAAATGGAGAAGGATCCTAAGTGTCTGAGTGATTTTAAACAGCTCACATTCCTCCCACATTTTCTTTATTGCCATATCCCAGGCATGTCCCTATAGTAAACCAGACTACAAAAATCTATCTAGTCAGTTAATCATTGAATAAGCACCTAGTAAATGTCCAATATGTAATAAATTTGGGGGACCTAAGAACAAATATGACATTATCCCTGCCCTCCAGGAACAGCTAGTCTGGGGTGAGGGTGGGGGTAAACATAAAATAGACTATGTATGAAAAGATTTGTCATAAAGGTAAAGCCACTAATTCTACCTGTGATACTTGGGAGAAATGATACAGATGAAGTGGCATTTAAATTTGGTCATGAATAAGACCTTTCTGGATACAGTGAGGGTAGGAAGAGGAAAGAGCCCTCTAAGCAAAGAGAGCAGCAGATACAAAGCATGTGATTAGAGTAGAATATTCAGGAAATGTTAAATCCAGTGATATAGAAGCATCACATGGGGGACAGAACAGTTGGACACAAGGTGTTTATCATCAGATAGTAAAGGGCTTTCCTCATGTACCACACTCAGAATCAGATTGGACTTTTAAGAAGGTAACCTGGTCATGGTGTATACTCCAGAGGATAGATTAGAATAGAGAGAGACTGATTTTAAGCCTAATTGTGATTCCTATAGTCCATACCAGCAAAGAAGGCCCAGAATTATCTCGTGAGAACAAAGGATAGCAATACTTAATGGTTAGATTCAAAAATCTTACAATTTTTTTTATAACTTTTGATTCTAATAGTAACTATCCTAAGGAAATAAATCATAATATAGTAAAATGTTTGCGATATGAAACATATTTGTCCTTTCGTTATCATACTGCTTTATAATAGCTCAAAGTTGGCCGTCCAGTAAGAGAATAGTTATGATAAGTTAACTATTCCTATACTATACCCATAACATAACATTATGAAGATTATTGAAATTTACACTAGTAGGAGCTTTTGTACAAGAAGAAACACTTATGTTTCAATTAAAAAGTAGGGTACCAAATTGTATATACCTTAAGATCTCAATTATGCATATTTTCCAACTTCTCTACAATGAGTATTTATTACTTTTATAATCAGAAAAATCATGTTGTGTTAAAAGAAATATAGGAAATTTGGAGAGATATTAGTGGGAATGGAGTTCTGGTTGGGACTTAAGGAGACAGTATGAGACCATGTGTGTACTGTTAATCATTTACTGACCACTTACTGGGATAGGTGAGAGGAAATGCAGTCCCTCTCTGAATTAAGTCTTTCTAATGGGAAACCCACAAGGACAAACAACTCACTAGAGTACTATGGTAGTCAGTGTGAGAGGGATGCACATAGCCTCATAAGAACAAAAGGAGGAGGAAGCCACCAGCTCATCGTAGATACCTGGGAAAACATAGGAGCTGGGCCACAAATCATAAGTAAGAATAACTACTATTTATTTATTTCCGATATTTTCAATAACCCTATAAGGAGGATATTATCAAACACCCCATTCATTCAGTAAATATTACTTGAGCATTTTCCTTATATCAGTGCTGTGCTCTTTTCCAGTCTCTGAAATATAGCATTGATCAAAACAAACAAAAATGTCTGCTCCATAGAGCTTTTAGAGAAAGAAATTTGAGACCCAAAGACATTTTATAGTTGCTTCCCATAGAAACAGCCTGAAGCTGGACTTAAGCCCACAGTAATCTATATCATTCATCAGTTAGGAAAGAGGGACCAGAGCATGGTGGACAGAAGGGACAGTCTGGTAAAAGCACAGTCTGGTAAAAGCATGGTATGTTCAGAGAACAGGAAGTGTGCTAGATCCAAAGCATTAAGCCCCACAGGGACCAAACTCTGTAGGGTCTTGATTGCCTTGCAAAGGACATGACCTTGTTAAGTGGAAAAACTGGTCATCACTGCATGATGATAACATGATCAAATTAATATCCAGTTATGTTGGACAGCTAGTGCTGCAGTGTGGGACACCTTGCATGGATGCCTTTGACTTCTCACAAGGGGAACAGTAGAAGTTAAGGTGTTCTACCCCTCCTGCTTTGCTCTCACACTCATTAATATCTGGTTGTATTGGTTCTTTTAAAGTCTTGCCATGGAATTAGGAAGACATCTTTATTACAAAGGTGCCTTTTGCTAGCATAGTATGGTTTCAGAATAGCAAAGAAACTCCATTGAAAAAGCTATGGAGAATAAATGAGCAAGGTTTTTTTCCTCATACTTTGAGATAAGAGGTAATTTACTTAAAAATTTGGTCCTGGAGTATTCTATGATTAGTCAGCCATTTTCAATATTATTTTTCTGTCTCAGTGAGCTATGACAACATCCAGAATTAAACATTTGATGAAATGTTTTAATGTTCATGAAACAAGAACTGGATCTTGGAAAGGACCTCCCCCCCCCCTTTTTTTGGCCTTATTTTTGCTTGTGTAACTTGGAGATATTTTACACTTTGAGACTGTGAGATTTGAAAAACAATATGGTCTTAAGTGATACTTTTAACTGATCCTGTGATTTAGGGAAAGCTTTTAAGACTGTCTCCTAGAGAACCAGAAGAAGTCAGCAAGCCCTTGCCTGTTACATGTGATAGGTGAGACTCTTTGGGAAGCAAAGCTAGACATACCTTTCAGTCCTTCTGCAGAGCGTCTAATAGTCTTCTCTCAGGTTTTGCAGTATCAAGGGCAATATCTGATGCTAGTGGGCTCCAGCTTTTAGGGATAATGAAACCCTTATAGTTAGCAGCCTGTGCCAAAGAACCCAAGGGGATCAGCCCAGTCTCCACCGTTAAGTTGTAGCATAATAAATCCAAACCTTGACCGATCTCAAATCATTTCCTTTCTTGCAATTTTCTTCTTTGGCTACTGTTTACAGTGATTGCAAACCAGTCCTAGGTACCACTCAAGCTGTCATCTAATTCATGTACATGGTTCTTTGCATCTTCACTGCATACACCTCCATGGGAGCCCTCTGGTGGCAGCTCCAATCCAGGGCCTTCTCCTTTGCCTGTGCCTCCCAAGTCATCATGGTTCTCTGCTTATCCATCCCACATCGACTTCCCCATCCTCCAGAGGATGGCAGGATTGTCATTTTGAAGGAATGGAGGCATCAAGTTGAATAACTTGATACAGAAGCTGGAGCTGGAACTTGGGTCCTGTACTTCTAGCACATGCTCTGTTCACTGAACCTGACAGCCTCCTCTCCAATTTTTGTTGTGGTTTTAGTTTGTTCAGTTTTTTAAAGTAAAACTTCGCCTCATTATGATAGTTTTACAGCATTTAAATTTTTATGTTCAATATGTTTCTCAAAATCATTTCAGTATTTTGATCCCCAGCTTCTGTTATGACCAGCTCACATCTGCTCTTTATCTAACCTTTTTAATTTTGTCCATGACCATCCTACATTGCAGGCTTCTCAACCAGATGAGTTGACCATTGAGGAGCATGAGGTGTTAGAAGTGATTGAAGATGGAGATATGGAAGACTGGGTAAAGGTATATTCCTTTGCTCATATCGCCCCTCCTTGTGACATTTTTAGGAGCTTGTTTTGGCTTGCATTGTGCCCTGTCCAAATCGTGTATGCAAACTTGTTCTGTCACATGTCTCTTACCCAGGCTCGAAATAAAGTTGGCCAAGTGGGCTATGTGCCAGAAAAGTACCTACAGTTTCCCACCTCGAACAGCCTTCTGAGCATGCTGCAGTCCCTGGCTGCTTTGGACAGTCGGTCACACACGTCCAGCAATTCCACGGAAGCAGAACTCGTTTCAGGCAGTCTCAACGGAGATGCCAGTGGTAAAGACTAAACCAAAGCACTCTTTATTTGGTCATATTTGACCTAAACTCTGTTGCCCTGGAGTAAGCCTTCAGTAGGTTAAAAAGCACAACTTTCTTCCTATCGTATAATATGGTTTTCTTTATTTGGTCACATTTGTCCTGTACAATAGAACCCTCAAGTTGGTCATCAGTGAGTAAAAAAATTACAACTTTATTCCTGTTCTGTGTGCTGCTCTGTTAGTTGTCATATGAGCACAGGGGTGGTTGCAGAAACAACTGGATGTCAGTGTTCTTACCAGATTTGTCTCTCTCTTGCTTTCTAGTCTGTTTTGTGAAAGCACTTTATGACTATGAAGGCCAGACAGATGATGAGTTGTCTTTTCCTGAGGGAGCAATCATCCGTATCTTGAACAAAGAAAACCAAGATGATGATGGCTTCTGGGAAGGGGAATTCAGCGGGCGGATTGGAGTTTTCCCATCGGTGCTAGTGGAAGAACTTTCAGCCTCTGAAAACGGTGACACACCATGGATGAGAGAGATTCAGGTACATGAAAGGGGAGAGAGGAATTCAATGATATTTAAAGAAAATTACTCCCGAGTGGGGTCTGTTGATCCAGGTAGAAGGGGACTGTAGTCTCTTCCTCACCCTCACCACTCCAGTCCTTGATTGTCAGGTGTCTGCAGAACTGAACTTGGGAAGCCAGAAACTTGTCTGTGAGGCCCTTGTGGAATATGGCCATATTACACCGCCATCCTCACACATCCTGTTCTCTGAATCGGTTAACCAAAATACCAAATTGTACATAACTTACCAAAGATTGGTTGAGTGGAGAGAAATAAACAAACCAAAGAGGGAATATATTGTCTCTGTGGTTAGTGTGTGTAGAAAACTCTTAGCAGGCTTTTTCTCTCCCTCACTGTTAGAGACTCTGCCTTACCCAGGCCCTGCCAGTCCATTTCAGAGAATTTACGAACCTGCTAGAGCCCCCATTCCACATTCAAGTAGCCCCAGACTTAGTTCATCATCAGGAAATTCACCTTTAAAACAATCCCTAATTCAGTCACAGTTTGGTTTGTCCCCTCCAGAGATCTATCACAGCAAGTATGGCAAATGGAAGAACAAGGACCATGATGGCTGATCTTGCTTGCATGGTGACTGTGACCACTTAGCCTGATGTGTACAAAATCTGGGAAAGTCAGAAATTCAGCCAATTAAATAGAACTTGTCTCTTTTTTTGCCCCTTGCTGAGTTTATTGAATTCTATTCAGTAGAACCTTAGATAATGGTTTAACTTGCTAACTATTTAGGATAAACCAAAATCAGTAATATAATGTGATCTGTGAGAGGAAAAAGTGATTCAGATGCAACACAAAGAGGGATTCAGGGTGGTTGTTTTAGGCTCATTTCCTTCTGATGAGACTGACAAGTTTCAATAGTCATCACTCGGCTCCAGAGAAAAGGGATGTATGCAGTAGAGAAGCAGCCAGGTTCTCTTCTTAGGAGTGGGCACCAGGCTCTCTTCCTGGGTGTGGGCGCCGGTAACCTCACTTCCCTTTGCTGCAGATCTCTCCTTCCCCCAAGCCGTATGCCTCCCTGGCCTCCCTGCCTCCACTGCCGTTGTACGACCAGCCTCCCAGCAGTCCCTACCCCAGCCCAGATAAGAGGAGCTCCCAGTACTTTCCCCGGTCTCCTTCAGCAAATGGTAAGGGTCCTCCTGGGCATGGGTCTAAATGCATTTTCACTTCAGAAATCCCCATATTTGCCTAAAGGGCAAACAGATCTGCATTCGTATTTTTACTGCTCAACAACACAAATAAAATGAGTTTCTTTGGTTCTGTCCTTTAGAAAATAGCCTTCATGCCACCGAATCGCCAGGATTCTCACAGGCATCAAGGCATACTCCTGAGACCTCATATGGCAAACTGCGGCCTGTAAGTCTTCTGCCTGGCAGGCTACAGAATGCACAGTGCTTCTAGATTGAAAATGAGAAATGCATGTCTTCTTGTGGTCCCTGTGTTGTCACTGATTCTGCCAAGTGAGGATGAACTGGGTTTGGGAAGGTAAAATGAGCTATGGAAAAGGAAGGCTATATAAATGAGCTCATCTTGGGATGCTTAGTCTACACTGGAACTCTGTAAGCCGTGGTGCAATATCAAGATGATAGATATGGAAATATATTTAAATTATAACAAGCTTTATGAGCATTAAAGTGGTCTCATTGTGAAACACTTTTTTTAGCAAGCATTTATTGAGAACCTATTTTCCAGGCCTGTAATTTGCCTCTTTGAGGCACACTGAGACAAAATAATAAGATATACTTTGTGGCCTCAAAGAGTTTCTGTTCTCAGGGTTAGCATGTCTTACAGAGTTATGTCTCCTTATCCTTCACTCTGCTGCCGTCTCACTTCCCCTGCCGCTGCACTCCAGATTATAACTTTCACACTGGTGAGCCAGTGGATATTTTGCAGTTTTATTTTCCTTGACCCTTATCAGCTTTTAACACAATTCCGTGACCACTAGCTTCCCTAGGCTTCATTCATTCAGCAGATGCGTACTGAGTACCTTGTTCTAATGTGATAGGAAGCCATTATAAGCAGGACCATGTTGTGACTGGCTTTGCTTTTTTTTTTTTTTTTTTTTTTTGAGTTGGGTCTCACTCTGTCACCCAGGCTGGAGTGCCTGGAGTGCAGGGGCACACTCAGGGCCATCCCAGCGTCAACCTGCTGGGCTCCTGCCATCCTTCCACCTCAGCCTTCCAAGTAGCTGAGTGCCCAGCTAATTTTGTATTTATTGTGGAGACGAGGTCTCGCCAAGTTGCCTGGGCTGGTCTCAAACCCATGGGCTCAGGCATTCCACTCATCTCACCTTGGCCTCCCGAAGTGCTGTGATTACAGGCTGAGCCACCGAGCCTGGCCTTTTTTTTTCAAGTTAGAGTCTCACTCTGTTGCCCAGGTTGGAGGGCAGTGGCACCTTCTGGGCTCAGGCAGTCCTTCCACCTAAGCCTTCCAAGTAGGCGGAACTACAGGTATGTGCCACCATGCCCAGCTAATTTTTTTGATTTATTGTAGAGATGAGGTCTCACCAAGTTGCCCAGGCTGGTCCTGAACCCGTGGGCTCAGGCAGTCCTCTCACCTTGGCCTCCCAAAGTGCTGGGATTATAGGCGTGAGCCACCATGCCTAGCCAGCTGTGCATTTTTAAAATACGACTGTGACAGCTAAGTGGAGGATGAATGGACTTGGGAAGCCATTGGGAGGCAGGAGCAGTGTCCAAGAAAGAGGAGGTGGTAGGGGGGTAGTGGGAAGAGCTGGGATAGAGAGCAGTGGGCCAAGTGCTTGCTGCACCACACTTACCCGGTTCGCCCCGTCTTCCTGTCTGGCCCTGCCTTTTCATAGGTCTTCACAGACTTCTCTGCCTCTCCCTGTCTCTGCTGACACTTATGGTTCTGTCTCTGGGCTGCTTCTTTTGAAGTCGTTGAAAGTAGTCTTCCTACGTGATTTCATCTACTCCCATGGCTGTGATGGTTATTTGTATACTAACAACTCCACTCTGATCTCTTCCCCAAGTTTCCACACTTGTGGACTTCTCAATTTCTCTGTCCCACACCCCCAAAACTCAGCAAAAAAAATTCCCTCCCACACATGCTCTTTCTCCCATATTGCCTGTCTTGGGAAATGGAACTCCCATCCTACTGGTGTCCTGGCATAATTCTTGATACCTCCAGCCCTGCCTCCCATAGTCATCACCCAATCATGCTGGGTCTACCTCAGAGACAGTTCTCAAATCTTTCCGCTTCTCCACTTCCCCCACTGCTGGTACCCTTGTTCAGGCTGACATCTATCTTCCTTCAGTGGATGCCAGATGTCTCCTAAATTGTCTTCTTTCTTGTACACCTCCATTCTTTTCTCCAAACTGTTACCTGAGTTATCTTTTCAAAGATTTGATACTGCTAAAAATCCTCCAGATTCCTTTTTGCCTACAAAATAAAGCATAGATTTCTCACCATGACTGACCAAGTCTCTTCACAACTTAGCCCCGGCCCCCCTCTCTAGTCTCATCAACTACAGCCCTCCTCCCACGACATGCCAAAGTGTCCAGTTCTCTAAGCTTTGCTCTCCCTTGCTTCCAACTCGCTGGACCTTTGCTTTGGAGAAGGATTTTAGGGCTGCAGTGACTCTTATGCCCATGAGGCTTTCAGCCTAGGCAAGAATCTGATTTGTGGGTTTGACATTTCAGGGAGAAAAACTGCTGCTTCTCAGTGTGGGAAACAGTAAAGATTAGCTTGAAAGTGCATGCTGCAGCATTTCTGAGACCCCCTAGGCAGCCTTGGATTAAATGAGTGATTGGGTTTAGTATGCTTTGGGCACTGAATCAGTAAGCTGACTGACAGTCCATGTCATTGTTTCCTGCTCAGGTCCGGGCAGCTCCCCCTCCACCTACACAAAATCATCGAAGACCAGCAGAAAAGATCGAGGATGTGGAAATCACGCTGGTGTGATGGTGGACTTGCCCATCCTTTACTGCTACAATCAAGGCCAGGCTTGGAGTTTGGCCAGTCTTGTTTTTTAGGCACCTTTGCATGATGATGACTCTAGAACAGAGCAAAAACAAGGAGGATTGTATGTGACTGGACAGCCTGGTGGACTCCTCCCACGTTTTAAATATTTCGTGCCTTTTTTTGTTGTCATTTTCTATGTCATCTCTCCTACCATAGCACAATCCTAGTGGACTCTAGGAGCAGAGAGCGGGGCAGCCCTTGTGCCTGACAGTGGTCCATTTTTATATGAGACTCAAGACCGGGCCTCGTTCCAAGACACAGTCACAGAATAACATATCATGTGCACTCGTACAGTATATTACTGTGGCCACAAGGATGTGGCAAAGATTCTCATCTTTCTTCAAGTGGCTTTTGCTCTTCTGATTGTTAATCGGGTCATGTTGGCTCCATAAGGAAACAGAAGGAGGGACTGCAGGGGAGGCTGGCTCCTCCCTGAGGTTGGTCCCCAGACTGAGAACATGAAACCTTCCTGGGAAAAGGTGGACTGCCCTGAATTTAGCACCAGTTGCATTAACGCACATCGCTTCAACAACTAACAGATTTCAGATGATAACAGTGTTCCTTTGTATTAATCTCTATGCCATTCATTTAGAGTTAGTGGAGCTAATACAGAGGGGCTGAAGTCGTAGCCATGTCTTGTCCATCACAGAGACTAACGGAAAGGAGACTACGGCCAAGGCAGAAATGGGACTTCCACATCTGAAATGAGCCTATGGAATTTTCTTCTGTATTTGGGTATTTTTCATCTTAATTTTTATAGCATATGCTCTTCTTACCATATCCTTAGAATCTGAATGTCTAGATAAGTTGAGGATGCATTCCTGCATTGGTGAGCTTCTCTACTGGGGAGGGCCCTAGTATTATTTTATTCCTACGCCAGTGCACCACTCAGACAGCAAGTTATGGCTGGTACAGACCAGCTTCCACCTGGGAGAATGCAGCTTCCAGGCCCCACTACCCTGACATTGTCTTGGGAGGAAAAACCTGTAGGCCATGGAGGAAACCAGTTTCCTGTGAGAAAAGAATAAAGGAGTGTACATCCTGCGCAAGAGCAGATTGGCAAGGAAAAGGCAAGTGTCTGTGTGTCACAGGGAGAGCCAGGCATGGTGTTCTCTGCAGGCCAGCGAGCTCGTCGCAGCAGGTGCTGAGTCAGGCTCTGGCTCTCCCTGGAGAATAGAGGGAGTGCAATACCTGGGGACTAAGGGATGCTCACCAGTTGCGTCTTTTATTAAGAAATCAAATTTACAGAACATAATCCAAAAGTGGTTTCATGCTTTGAAAATTCCATCTCTCAGAGCCTAAGAATCTTAAAAACTTGAAATGCTCGCCAAATGTCCCCATTAGGTTTTTGACCAGAAGATCATAGTAGAAGAAATTTTCAGTTAGTCATTTGATCATTTCAGTGACAATACCCACTGATGAATCTTCTCTGTGTTTTTGTTGTTGTTGTTTTGGTTTTTTTTGCATTTCTTAACCTGTTGATCTATTTGAGGTCTTTTGTGTTTATCAAACTTATTCTTAAGTTTAAAAAAGAAGATTAAAGGGTGGTTTTTTAAGATTTTAAAGTTTACTGACATATTAAAAATCTTCAAAGTGCTTATTAAATAGAGCAGTTCTTGCCACCCAATCTTGTATTCTCTCTTTAGCTAGCCAAATTATCCTTGAATTTGGGTTTTCCACAACCTCAGAGGGTAAATCTTTTGTTATATTTTAAAATATTTTTTGGAAGAGCTGCTAATTTTATTTTAAAAAACAACGTTGTAAAAATATCCCTCCTTTTAAAAAAATAACCCCTCCCTCCAGGACATGTAACCCCGTGTCACAATGCACAGGCCAGGGCTCAGAGGGAGCCTTTGTGCAGATGTGCTTTCTTTACAGTGGCTGTAAAAAGTTTGTATTTATTATGTATAAAATGTTGAATAATAAAAAAATGGAATTAAGTTTCCTTATAGATTTGGGTAAATAGACTTTTCCCAAAAGCCCATGCTTCTTATACACATTCCTGGGCTCTCCTTTATATCACTTAACAGATAGAGGAGGAAATGAATTAATCCATCCATGGGACAAACAGTCCCTGAAGCCACCCACATGTCAGGTATAATATCCTGGGTACCAGAGATGACAATAAATAAGTTATGATCTTTGCTTTCCCAGAGGGGAAAAAACAACAGGTATATACATAACAGTACTGAGATGTGTGCTGGAAGGGAGGGGCGGATAGCAGGCTGAATGAACTGAGAAAGGAGCCCTGATTCTGCTGCTGGGTGGCAAGAAGAAGGTCACTGGAGTCCCCTTGCAAGATGTGACTGCTGTTTTCCAGGAAGTGGGCATTCTCCCCTTTCCTAAGCCTCCATCCTGAGGAATAACGAATCACATGAAAGGAGATTTTATTAGTCCCAGGGGTGGGTAGAGGACTCCTGGGTACAGGCCAAGTCCCTCTGACCTCTAGCCAGCCCCACTGAGAACAGAGATCAGGCAATCAGAGCAGGGACCCCAACCTCTCCTCTTTCCCAGGGCTGGGGGCACACGGGATATATTCTTGCACACATTTTTCTGTGCATTACACTCTTAAGTGTACACATTGCTTGCTTACATAAGTGTGTTCAGTATAAATATTGGGTAAATTCCTAAATGCAGGATTCAAGAGTCAAAAAGGTATGTATGTATTTAACTTTGTTAGATTTTGCCAAATTGACCTCCAAAAGGATGCCCACTGATGGCCTATGGGACAACGTGGACTTGGAGTCGAAAGGTCTGGATTAAATCCTGGCCCTGCTACCTGATGGCCATGGGGACTGAGCCTGAACCCAAGAGGAACACTCCTCACCATCACCTCTCCCACCTCTTTGCAGCATCCTCTCCTCCAAAACCAGGATCCTTGATCTTCCAGGCACACAGTGCTGTCCTGGCACCCCAAGGAAGCGATGTGTGTGTGACGTTCTTCACCATGAATGGGGGAAGGGCTTTCAGGGCACACAAAATACCACTTCCATCTTTCGCCCCCGCACCTGTGGGGAAAGCTCGCATGTGAGCCTGCTGCTGGCACTGGAGACTTGGTCTGGGACCAGAGGGCAGAGCTCAGCTAATTGCCTCACCCCAGCATCCTAGCTAAATGTTGGATTCCTTTGTCAAATGAACTGGCTTGATGCAGTCAGGCCACACAGGTTCACAGCAAATCACCTAGATCCCCTTACCTCTCTGACCCCACCACCCTGCCCACATCCATAAGCCACATACCAGGTGGGAAAATGTCATCTGGCCTAGCCCTGCTGCTACTTGATGAATGACCTTTCCCTCTGAGCTGCCACATCCTCCACCCTTAGAAGGAATGGCATGAGGTGATTTCCAAGGGCTTATCCAACTCTCATGTTCTGGATCAGTTCAGTTTCTAGACGCGGGGTGAGAACGTCACACAAAAGTCACAATATTTGAGAGCAGACTTACTAATAGACTACTTGGGGTGACAAAAACCTGAAAAGAAAATGCAATCCGCTGGGACTTGGGACATAACAAACCCTTGTCCTGGATGTTGCAGTGACATCCCAGGCCACTCCACTGCCTGAGGGGCCTAGCCACAGCTTCGGGTTTAGAGGCCAATGATTGCCCAGCCCTTTCCTAGTGGCCTTAGGACAAAACCTGGCTGCTCTGAATCTTTGTATTTATTTTGTTTGTTAAAAAGTTGTTTTTCATGACAGAAATACAACCAAATTATGGAAATTTTAGGCTAGAAGGAGAACTGCAATTTGTCCCAAAATCCTACTTGACACAGCCAGTTAAGTGTCCTCCTAGGCCCTTCCTGTTAGCTTTGTTACCGCTTTATCTGCCAAGAACCAAATGAATGCCAAAGAGCATCTTGTTCCTGGACTATTTTCCCTTGGTCCCAGTGGCCAGAAAAATACACTTCTGCTGTGTCTTTTTCTGAGCACTCTGGTTGAGACTATTTTCCTGGAATTTTTTATCCTGAAACACAAGACAAGTGAACCCATGAGTAGGGCTCACACCTCTTTCACACTGCGTCCTGAACACACTCTTCACCACCCACTCCTGAGAGAGACAGGAGACAGCATGGTCAAAAGAGTGCATCCAAGACCCTGAGCCACCCCAGGGACCCCTTTCTCACTTTTAGGCAAGTAGCCCCTGACACCCAGGCACAGAATACCGAATGCCTGGAGGTGCAGTCAGCACTAGGGTCCCATCCTCACACCCCTGCTGGGCAAAGAAACTAGAGGGAGGCTCATCCAATCACCTTTCTGGGCCTTGCTTTCCTCATCTGTAAAGTGGAAATAAGAAGAGAATGCAAACATCCTAGATCCGGGAGGATCAAATTAGATAATGTCAACAGATAAGCTGAAAATACTCTTGTTTTAAATTTAATTTATTATAGAGTTGTGGGGTACAAGTGAGGATTAACTACAAAGTAGACTGCATGCAGGTGAAGTTTTGGCTGCTAACTGGCCCTCACTCCCCTGGTAGTGAACCAGGTACCCTTTGTCTTGTCACATTCCCGCCACCTGAAAATATTCTTGCCAAGCGGATGTACCTCCAGAAAAAGGAAACTGCCTGACCCACAGCTATGCTGAACCCCACAGGCAGTCCACACCCAATGGTCAGGACTGTTCCAGAGACCACCTCTACTTAATTGCTCTTTGTCCCATAAGCAGACCTACTGCCCCAAGCCATGTTCAGGTCACTGGAGCCTCATCCCTGTCGCTGAGAGGCTCACATCCCGGCAGGGTAGGGAGACTCGGGAACAGCAGACCAAAGTCAACGACTGGGAGATGACCAAGGGGCATTAGAAGCCCAGAACAGGAGCTTTTGTTGTTTATCCCTCCTTGGGTTCTCAGGCTCCCGAAGGCATGAGATTGGGCAGAGGCAGCATCGCACTCGCAGACAGCTCTGGGGAGGAGCTGTCACCTTTGGGGAGACCCAGAGCCTTGGGGCAGGGACAGTTTCACAGATGAGGATATGAGAACCTGGACGTCACTGTGACTTGCCCCAGAACTTGCAGGAAGACAGAACTGGAGCAGAGCCTCGAAGTGGTCCTCCAAAAGACCAGGTCAGCCCCTCTACAGAACCAGAGTCCAGTTTTTGGAAAAGAGGGAATCAGAGGCCTGGGTCTTTATCTCAGCTGTGCTATGTAACCCTGACTGAGCTCCTGCCCTCTCTGGCCTCAATTCCAGTGCACATCATTCCAGTTTTGACATCAGGACCCACATTCAGATAGGTAGCCCCTGACACCCAGGCACAGAATACCAAATGCCTGGAGGGGCTGTCAGCACTAGGGTGCATCCTCACACCCTCTGCTGGGCAGGGCTGAAGAAACTGGAGGGAGGACTGGCCTTCCCTGCTGGCGAACCCTCTGAACGCCTCTGCACCGCCTTGTGAGCTCCTCTCCCCATACCTGCCTCACCCCATGGAATGCCTTGGCCTGTCTCTGGCCTTCCAGACTTGCCCCTCCAAGAAGCATCGCCCTATGGGAGGGGAACCCTCCAGGCAGTACAGGTGAGCATGTGTTCCCCGAGTGAGGTGGCACCAACTGACAGTGAGGGCGTGTGTGGTAAGATTTGCCCCATGAAGTAGAAGGGGAGGTGTCAGGACAGTGGAGGGCCACTGTCCCAGGGACTCATCATACCAACCCCTGAGCCCCTCTTCCAGGTTACTGAAGCACATGGAAGCTTCCATGACAACCCTGTGAGGTAAGGAGAAACTTAACAGCGAGGTGCTGATCCCAAATGGTGTGGCTGGTCACAGCCTCCTAGGACTCAAGTTCCTCTCCTGTGTCCCTATGTGTCCCTCACTTGCCTCCAGGCTCAGGGGCCAGAATGGAAAAGAGAGAGAAGATGCTGGGAGGGTGTGAAGTCAAACACAAAACTGGAATCACAGCCCCCCCCTCCAATCCTGTGGTAGCAGGCAGTGGGCATACCCTGGGATTGAGGGGGGTGGTATATTCTGTAGCCCTGTGCAATTAGGAGCCAGAATTCCCTGACGTTGTAATTTTTAAAAGAGAGATCCCTACCTTTAAAGGGGGGGGGGGTTGAAATAATATATATGTAAATAAATGAGAAAGGGTGGAATGCAGTCACAATCCAGCTGTGTCACTGTGTGATCTTAGACTACTTAACGTCTCTGAGCCTCAGTTTTCTTGTCTGTAAAACAGATGACATCTACACCAGATGGCTGGAAGGAACAAGTCAGATTCTGCTCCAGAGCACAGAGCAAGGCCTGACACAGCTTGAAGCACTCTGTAATGGTGGCTGCCTGAGCTCCTGAGACTGGCGATCGGTCAGAGACTATGCAACTGGTGACCCCTGCTGGCCACTGGGAGCCAGGGAGTCTGATTTTAAGCATGTTGGACCCTAGAACCATGGACTCTAACAGGCATTTCCTGGGGGCTTCCTCTGTGCCAGGCCTGATCCCAGGGAATACTCTGCTTCCATCTGGCCTCTTCCAAGAGCTCTCTGACTTAAACTGGAGGCAGGTACAAATGGGGGACACAGGGACTCAGGAGGCTCTACCCAGAAATGGTAGATGAGGAAAGGGCACTCAGTGGAGGACCCTGAAAGGAAAACTTGAACTGGGGGCTTGGAGGCAAGGAAAACATTCTGGGCAGAAAGAAAAGTATGTAGCCAGGTGCATGGCTCACACTTACAATCCCAGCACTTTGGGAGGCAGAGGTGAGATGACTGCATGAGCCCAGGAGTTCAGGACCAGCCTAGGCAACATGGCAAGACCCTGTCTCTACAATAAGTTAAAAAATTAGCTGGGCATTGTGACACATGCCTATAGTTCCAGGTACTTGGAAGGCTGAGGCAGAAGGATTGCCTGAGCTTAGCAGGTCAAGGCTGCAGTGGCTGTGAGCATGCCACTGTACTCCAACCTGGGTGGCAGAGACGCCAACTCAACAAACAAAGCACATGTGAGACACACTCTGAAAACAAGGGAATGGAGACTCAGGGAGATCAGTGGAGACCCATCCAGAGGGCTATGAATTTCATGCTGGCGGCAGGGGAACTTCCAAGGACTAGACGTGTGACTAGAAAGTCACTCTGGCCACGGCAAGCAGGGGGTTGGATGGGGAACATGTCTAGAAGGTGGCAGCAGGGTCAGAGAGGAGCACTAGACATGGTAGCCCAGGTCTGGTGCCCGAGACGTGGGGTGTGAGGGGAAAGGTCACATGCAGGGAAGACGATGACCAGGGGCAGCTGCGTGTCATCTAGCTGGACCAAGAGCAGTGAGAGAGCTGAGAGTCAGCAGAGCACAGATTTTGCCCTTTAACCAGCATTTGTCTGTCTCTGCGTTGTCTGTCTCTCTTCCCGGTGTCCCCTCAGTGCAAGGGATTGGGGTCCCCAGGCCTGCCCTGCAGCTCTGCCTTGCACTCAGAGGCTTGCCGTGCAGGTTAAATTTGATGACAATAAGCGAAGTCCCAGACCTGGGCACAGACACACAGAGGCCCTGCCTCTTCGGGAAGAACACGCCCCAGGCAGCTAAGGCTGGCCTTGTGCACAAGGCCTTGGATATCACCCTCTGGTTTTTTAAAGACCTTTCCACTGGTATCCCTCTGGGTTGCCTCCCAGCTCCCTCCTCAGCGCTCTTACAGCCTCTCCTTAGCCTCGGTCTACCCCTGAAGCAGGGGGGCCCAAAGTGTTGGTTTGGCCTCAGGACCAGGTTGGACCAAGGGTCACATCCCATTACTCTTGGCTGCCTCTGGGCATTTCTTCATGCTGTTTTCACAGTTAGATTTGAACAGCACTTAGCTCCCAGGCAGAGGCTGGGTTGGCTGTGCCCCAGCTCTGTGCTGGAGCAGCCAAAGATCTCTCTGTACCCCGAATGCTACAGAGAGGCAAGCAGACACAGTTTTGATACAATTTCTTTTCTACTTTGGGGGGAGAGAAAGTGAGGAGATGGAGATAAAAAGCAAAAACTACTATAATCACCCCAATCCACACTCTGTTTTCAGACAAACGGGCCAGGTCCTGCCAGGCCTTCTCCTCATTAAATCCCAAGGCCAACTCCACTCCCACCCCCGTCCCCACTGCTCTGGAGTCCTGTGGAGTGGAGGGAAGCTTGTTCTCCAGCTTCAAGCTTCAGACCGAGCCCCAGCCCAGGCAGCAGGGTCGTGGCCCTAGTGCCAGAGTGCAATCTTCCTGCCCTGGTCCACGCTCGCCACATGGCTCCCAGAGTAGCACCAGGCCACGGCGTTGACAGCAGTGCTGAGGAGAGGGAAAGGCAGGCTGCAGGGGATATGGGGAGCTGGGCCTGCAGCCTGGCCCTGCCACTCACTTCTAGCCTTGTGCAGTCTGAGGCCGCTCTGAGCCCATTTCCTCATCTGTAAAATGGGCTCACAGGGCTGTGATGAGGGTAGACCCAAGTGTGTGTGGAAAGGTGCCTTGAGAACTGTGGAAGTCTCTGGTGGGGTAGAAGGTCCAGGCACAAAGGCTGGGGACACCAGGATCCCAAAGATGCCAGAACCTGGCATCCCAGTAGCAGGACTGGGGCTCGGGTGGGCAGGTGGGCAGGGGTGAGAGTGCTCACCAGTGGGGCCCTTGAAGGCTGCCCTCCAGCTTCCCGGTATCTGCATTCCAGATGTAGAGGGCTCCGTCCCCGGAGCCTGCCAGTGCGTAGCTTCGGTCTGGGCTGCGGTAGCCACAGCAGAGTGAGAGAATGGGATCAGAGGGGAGGACACACACGCAGGGCCAGACAGGCACATGCTCATGGACACACCTGAACACGGCTTTGGTCCAGTCAGAACTGCACTTGAAGCCATCGGCCCTGAAGACAGACAGGGTCGGGGTGGGAATGCAGGTAGCCACCAGCCCGCCCTGGGCAGCAACGTTAAGAACTTCCTTTCTGTCAAGGGGTTGGGGACCACAGCAGGAGCTGGTCTAGAGGGGCCTCCGAGGAGGGCCCCAAGAGGGCCCTTTTAGAAAAAGCTCTGCCGCCCCGGGGCAAAGGCCACAGAGCCAGCGGCACGAGCTGGTACCTGAACACCTGGCGAATGTTGCTGACACGCAGGTCGATGACCTTGAGTGTGTTGTCGCGGGAGCAGCTGAGCAGATGCAACTGGTCGTGGCTGAGACTCAGGGAGGTGACCCGGCCCTGCACAGGGATGACTTGGATGCAGCGAGGCCCCCTAAAGAGCAGGGACAGAGATGGGCATGAGAACACCCCACCAGGCCACTTCTGACAGGAAGGCGCTGGGCACGACAGCCTCTTCAGGGCCACCCAGTCCAGAGACACTTCAAGATGAGGGGGACTGGGCCCCTTCTCCACAGCGCAGCCAGCTCCCTCCACCGAGGCCCTCAGGCAGACTTTGACCAGAGAGCAGGAACCCTGGAAACCCTTGGGTCACGAACATAAGCACCAGAGGGAAAACAATGAAAAGTGCTTCTTTTAAAATGGGGTGGGTGGGAGGCCTTTGCAAACAGCAGTGGCTGCGGACCAGTGAACACCAGCTCCAGCCTCATGTCTGTAAACCATCTGAGCCCAACGCCGGGCTCTCAGGTAGAAGGATGAAAAAGAATGTTCTTCCTTTTGGTTAACTAAATGGGAAAAGGTGCTTCACCATATTTGCTGCAAGGTCCAGGCAGAGTCCAGGAATGGCCAAGAGCCACTAGGAGAGGGTGCAGCTTCCCGGGGAGCTGAACCCACGAGGGGCCGTGCCAGCCACACAGCCTCTCCTCCCCAACATGACACCACTTCTCCTGCCATGGCCAGAGAAAGGAACAAGAACTCGAGAGTCCTGTCCCCAGGCTTCTGCCACCCCACCCCCAGCCCGTGCCTGTCACCTGCTGTCCCAGAACCGGATCTTCTGGTCATTGTGGCCACTAATGATGATATGGTTCCCACACACCACGTCGTTACAGTAAGAAAGGACATTGATGGTCCTGGAGCCTAGGAACCAAGAAGCAGGAACTCAGAGGAAGGCTGGCAGGGGCCAGCACAGGACATGTGGAGAAGCCAAGACCCAGAGGGCAGGGTCCTCCCAAGACTAGAACCCAGGTCTCCTGCTCCCCAGCCCAGGGCTCACCCCACCTCTTCTTCACCTACCCAAAGCCTGGGCTGCCAGGAAACCAGGCAGAAAACACCAGTGGGGCATGGAGGAGGAGGGCCTCAAGAGGTTTCACCCAGATGCCTGTGGATCTGTGGATCTCCAAGCCACTCCTAGAGCAGGGTGAGGACCCTCATGTTCTGACCTGGGGTTCCTGGCTGGTGAGGAGGGGAGGCAGGGGCTGGGCTCACAGTAGGCGCGGTCAAGGTCCCACTCCTTCACTGTCCTGTCTCGGCTCCCAGTCACTGCCTGGTGCCTCGTTAGCTTGAATTTGGCAGCTGTCACCTTGTCCTTGTGTCCAGACAGTGTCTCCTACCCCCAAACACCGGGTCTAACTCGAGGGCATGGCGAGGCCCCATAACAGCCTCCCTGGTGCCAAGGCATGCCCCTGACCCCCAGGCCACCTCCCCAGTCAGGCCTCACCTTGGACTGTGCCTCTCCCACCTTCCAGAGCTGGGCGGCCTGGTTGTAAGTGGCCGCTAAGACCTGGGAGCCCTGGAGGGAGGGGAATAGAAGTGACAGGTCCTGAGCCTGCGCCTGAGAAGGACAACGTCCCTGGAGCCAGAGAGCTGGGGTCAGCAAAGGCAATGTCCCTCAGGCCAGAGCTTTCCAGCGCCCAGGTCGCCAAGGCAGGCAGAGAAGCCTTAGGCCTGGGAGAAGGATTTGTGCAGGAGCCCAAGATCCCAGATCTGACATCTATGACATGCCCTCAGGTCCCAGGGCCCCCACCTGCCCAGTGTGGAGATGCAGGGGGGGGTACCCCATGCCACTGGGCAAAGTCCCCTCACCGAGGGGTCAAAGTCCACACTGGTGATGCTGCCGCCAGCTCCCTTAAGGGTCTGGTTGGCCTCCAGGCGCCCTGGGGAGAACAAGAGTAAGGACAGTTGAAATGAGGTCACTGACCTCATGGAGTAGAAGAGCTAGGACTGAGAGCGGGAGATCAGACTCCCCCAGGGAAAAGGACAGAATCACTGGGTCTGTTGGGGGCCTGGGCTGGAGGCTGCACCTCCTCTAACTGCTGGCAGGGGTTGTTTTAAAGACAGGGTTGGAGAGGACTGGAGAAGGGACTGTCCCTCGGTCTCACAGCAAGTCAGGGCCAGGCCAGCTGGAGACTTGCCTGTTCTAGGAAGCGTCGAGGAGCTGCCCTGACCCCCCCCCCCAGCCCCCGCCCTAGCACAGCCCTCTTCAGAGCACTGAGCAGGGGACCAGGCAGGTAGTTAAGACTTGTTCTGAGAGATCAAGGGATGCTGGAAGAGGTGGTGGTCTGTGAGCTCGGGAACTTGCTCCTCAAGGGCCTATCCCTTCAGGACCTCAAGACAGGGCACTCCCACCTCCCCCAACGGGGACCCCCTGAGCTCAGCCCTCCCCCATCCTGCAGGTCTGGACTTCAGAGCTGAGAGGCTCCACCCTCCTTCAGAGCAGTGAGCCCAAAGGCTATCCCTTGCCAAGAAGTTATCTAGCCTCTGCCCAGAGAATGTTCCAGGTGGGGAAGCAACCAGAGGTCCAAGACCTTTTCCCACAAGGAGCAAGCTGAGGATGGGGTCCAGAGGGAAGCACACTGGGCTGACTGAGGGGGGGGAATCTTACCTCCCACAACATTCCAGAGGTGGATAAGGCAGTCAGCGCCCCCAGTGGCCAGGAGGCTGCTGTCAGGGCCAAAGCAAACAGCATTGACCTCAGAGAGGTGGGCATCCTGTGTGGAAAGGGGGAGGTCAGTACCCTGGTTCTCCCATGCATTTCCTGTGCATGCTCGCTGGTTCTCTGCTCTCTGCAGCCTGTTGCTGACTTGTCCCCACCCCAGATCTTAGTCCAAACCTGGGGTTTCAAACCTGACTCCACTGGTCTGACCACCTCTGCTGGGACCCCTGCAGCAGCCTCACCGCTGTGCTCCACCCCACTTGCTTGCCTGGTCTCTCAGTCTCCTGTCTCTCCCTCCCCTAGCCATGCCCCCCATAACATGCTTGAGTGGAAGGATGCCAGCCTCCGTCTCCTGCTTTAGAGCCCAGCCTCGCTTCCCCGGCCTCCTGGGACACCCTGGGGCCTGCATGTCCTTACCACTGCCCCAGGCGTGCAGCCCAGCTCTGCTCACCAGCACATCCTGAGCCCAGGTAGGAAGTCGGGCGGCCACGCACACAGGGATGCTCTGGTATCGCTGCTCAGGGGCTCCCCCGATCGAGTGACCTCGCCTCTTCTTGAAACTGATGGGGGAGTGGGAGGGCAGGAGAGCATTCAGCAAGGCCTTCTGACGAGGGAGTCCCACGTTCCCCTGAGGCAGCGACAGGAAGCCACAAAGGCAGGAGGCAGAACACAGCCCCCAGGTACAGCCAGCACATTCCCAACCCAGCCACTGACCCCAGAGGTCAGTTAGGAGATGGAGGGACACACACAGAAGGCACAGGAGCAAGGCAGAGTTGGTGGGTGCAGAGGAACCTCAGGGTTGAGGTTTCAAGCCTGGTCTCGCCACTACTTGGCTCTGGGATTGAACAAGACCCTGACACTTCTGAGCCTCAGTTTCTCAGTTGAGTGGGAGTTCCTGTCCAGCCTCAGGCTGGGGCTCTTGGTCCCCTGCGAGGACCTCAGATAAAGACAGAGCCTTGTAAGGACAGAAACTGGAAGACAGCTAGCAGGGGCTGCAGATGAGGCCTCCAGGGCCCGACAGAGACAACACTCAGACAACTGCACACCATATGGAAGGACAGGCCAAAGCACGCACAAAGACCAAGCCTGGGCTCAGGGAGCCTGACACTGGGCGCCAAGGGCCCACCTTCACACACAAGTGCATGCACACACACAAGCAACATACACACTTACTCCAGAAACCCCTTTACCACATCTACACAGTGGGACAGCGTCAGGGAGGTGGCTGAGGCTGACCTGGGAACCGAGAGACACGTGCTAAGGAATGGCTGGGGTGTGTGCCAACAGCCATCGTCATCGCTACACTGGGCAGAAGACCTGGAGGCTTATAACCTCTCAAGCCTGGGGCGAGAACTTGACTCCTCCAAGACCCTAACCAGTCCCAGGAAGGTGGAGGCAGGGATGGAATTGGCAGTGAAAGTCTCTACCATGATGGTAGGGACTGCCTTGTCCCCGCAGGTGTCCACCAACGAAAGTTCCTGGGAGGCTGAGCAAGGTCCTGTGCCCCCAGGCTGGGATAGCCCAAGGCTAGGAGCAGAGGGAGAAGCCTAGGCTAGCTGAGCGACCTCAGAAATGCCCACGAGAGTGTCCTGGGATGACCTGGCCCACCAGGACTGCCAAGGACTTGGACGACCAACATCTCATGCTCCTCCCCAAGGTTCCCTCACAGCCCTGAGGCCTGGACATGGGGACCTATAAGGAAACCCCGAGAACAACCTTCTGGCTGGGGAATGGGACTAGGAGGAGGCAGCATCAATACAGGCAAACCTAGTCAGATGGAGGACACTGAGCAGAGGGGTTCCCAAAGACGGAAGCCCCAGTCAGGTCCCACCAGTGTAAGCACACACATGTACACGCCCACATGTGTTCATGTTCATATACACAGAGGTACGCTCACCTGAGCCTATACACACACGTATCTTGCACACCTACACCTGTACTCACACTCGCCTGGGATAGCAGAGCCCTAGGCCTTGCCCACAGGTTACCTTTTGGCGATACCTACTCACCATCCTGACACCCCACCCCCACTCCTGGTCCCAGGAAGGAGGGAAAGGGTTGAGGGCAGGGGTTGGGGGTCCCTGAGGTGGCACAGACTGCATGTGGCTCCAAGCACTGGAGATCAGACCGGGTCCTGGGAGGTCTGAGATGTACCCCAGCCTCTTCCCAAGCACTTCCCCAGCCTAGGAGCTGGCGCCAAGAACCCGGAAGAAGACTCTGGAAGCCTCTGGGGTGGGGCTCGGCTCAGAGCTCTGGGACAGCCATCTGGATCCTCACCTGAAGGGTCTCTTCCACTTCTCACAAGCTTCATTCTCCAGGGACTCTGGCTCAGCTGCCAGGGCCAGAGTCTCGGGCCTCTCCCTGAACCCATCGCCCTGGATGGTGTTTGGGCTCCTGGAAGAGGTAACGAAGCTCGGAAAGGTCGAGGGATCAGGCCAGTCCCTCCCAGCCCAGCGCGGGACACAGTGAAGATATGAATTCCCAGTGATGGGGGGGGTGTGTGGGTGCACGTGCAGCGGGCTCCTGTGACCACACATCTGCATGGTCCCGTAGGCCCCGCCGCTTGGGGGCCTCGGGACCAAAGTGTGCGGGCAGCAGCGGCAGAGCAGGCGGCCCGGAGCACAGGGACCAGGCCCGGCCCATCCCCACTCTTACTCGCAGATGCTCACAGTCCGCTTGGCAGCTTTCTTCAGCTCCTGAGACACCTGCGCCTGCTTGGCCCTTCGGGGTGAAAAACACCCTGAGATCCTCCAGGGGGCGGTGCCGGCCCCCTCCCGCCAAGACGAGGGCGAGGCCCGACTCCGCCCCCGTGGGGCGGGGCCCGGCCTCTCACCGCTCGCGTCGCTCATTGCGCAGATTGCGCTCAGCCGCGGCGCGCGCCTTGCGCTGCACGAGCCGCTCCAGCAGGTCGCGCGCCTCCTCCTGCCGCCGGCGCAGGGCCGCCTCCTGGAGCCCGGCGCGCGCGCGCAACGCCTCGTAGGCCGCCCGCTGCGCCGCGTTCTGCGCGCGCTGCTCCCGCACCTGCGCGGCCCGCTGCTCCCGAGCCTCCTGCAGCTCCCCCACGCGGGAATCCAGGGCCGCCAGCCTGCGGGGGCGGGGGGGGAGCCGGCGGTGGGTCCCTAGCTTCCTCCCTCGCCGCCCGGGAGCCTCAACAGGCTTGCCGGTGGCCACGCGACCAGCCGGATGGCTGGACCAGGTCTCCAGGCCCTGCCGTTCGGGCCTTCTGACACCAAACACAGGCCTGGGGGGCGACTAGGGGGCGTGGGGAGAGCTCTCGGGCCCTCGCCATGCCCCCGCCTCCGGCAGGTGAGCCCCTCACCTGCTTTGCTGCTCCTCCAGCTGCGACTCCAGGGCGCCCAGCGCCGCGCTCTTCTCCACCACCTGGTAGGCCATCTGGGGACGGGTGGGGTGGGGAGGGTGTGACGGACAGGTGGGCACGGGCGCCCGTGCGTGGGGCTTACGAGGCCTCCAGCCCCTCCAGAGCAGTAGGGGCTGCTGGGACAGTCTGCAGCTCCAGCCACCTGCCCCCTTACTGAAAAACAACCTGAGGCTCGGATGGGTTGGGATGGCCCACAAGGAGACACTGCTGTTTCGGGGAACAACGCAAGGGCCTTAGGCTCTGGGGTCTGACATCCGGGTTGCAGTCCTAGCTGTGCCACGTTTCTCTGCGTCCCTAGGGTAGTCACTGAACCTCTCTGGCAAGAGGAACCCGCTCCATTTCCTCACCCGTAAAATGGGAAGGGCGGTGCCTACCTCCTGGCGCCATGTGGAACTATTATGAGGACTAGCCCTGCAAATGATGGCCAATGTGTGACCAGCACGTGCATGGGCCATGCTTTGTTCCAAGCCCTCTACACATATTAATGCTTTTAATCCTTGTAACACCATAAGGTGGGTACGGCCACTCAGAGAGGTGAAGTGTCTTGCCCAAAGTCACACAGCTAAGTGGCAGAGCGGATATTTGAACCTAGGGCACCTAACTGCATCATCCGCCAAGCAAAGCACTGGTCTCTAGGAGGGGCTCAAGGGATAAGGGTTGTTCCCCTCTCCCGTAGCTGGCTTCCTGGGCCACCCCCAGCCTGCCGGCACGCAGACCTCAGCAAGGTCAGCAGAGGAGCCCTGAGGCACACAGGCTAAGATTGGGAATGGCCTATGGGAGCACAGGACCCAGGCTGATTCTGGAGCTGCCCCAACAGCCCGGCGGGGGTGAGGCTCATTCCATCTGCACCCCTGCCTCACTCAACGCTGCTCCAACCCAGGGCCCTGCGGTGCTGAGGGGTCAGTGGGAGAGACTGTCCCCAGGCCAGGCAATTCCTGCCAGTATGGCAAGAGGAACATGAGGGGCCATGGGCTCTGAGCCCCTCTGCCCAGGCTGAGGCCAGGGCTCTCGTTGCAACCCCATTCTTGTGTTCTTGTCACGTGGGCCTGGTAAGGACAGATAGGGAGCAAGGTCAGTGCTGTCCGCCTGCGCTGACATGACTTCCGGAGGTCTGAGGACCCTGCACATGTAGGGCAGGGCAACTGCTTTCACAGCTGACCCAGTTGTAACACTGATCACCCTGTTCAACACTGAGTCACATTCCTCACCTGTCACCTGCTTTCATTTAGGCTATGTTATACCCTTCCTTTTTTTTTTTTTTAAACTTAATGCCTTTCAAAATTCAAGTAATCGCCGGGAACAGTGGTTCATGCCTGTAATCCCTGCACTTTGGGAGGCTGGGGCGAGAGGATTGCTCGAGTCTAGGGGTTTGAGACCAGCCCGGAAGACTTGGGGAGACCTTGTTCTACAATAAATAAAAAATTAGCCACGCATGGGGGCACATACCTATAGTTCCAACTACGTGGAAGGCTGAGATGGAAGGAACACCTGAGCCTAGCAGGTTGAGGCTGCAGTGGCCATGAGTGTGCCACTGCACTCCAGCCTGGGCAGTAGAGCGAGACTCCGACTCAAAAAAAAAAGTTCAAGTAACAGAGATGGAAAACAGATTAGCAGTTGCAAGGAACTAGGAATGGTTATGGGGAGAGGGGTAAGTGTGATTAGAAAGAAATACAAGGAGGCCAGGCATGGTGGCTCATGTCTGTAATCCCAGCACTTTGGGAGGAGGAGGAAAGAGGATTGCCTGAGCCCAGGGATTTGAGACCAGCCTGAACAACTTGATGGCATGGTGGCACACACCTACAGTTCCAGCTATTTGGAAGGCAGAGGCAGAAGGCTCGCCTGAACCCAAGCTGCGGTAGCTGTGAGCATGCGACTGAACTCCAGCCTGGGCAACAGAATGAGACTCCGACTCAAAAGAAAAAAGGAGTACAAGGAGATCTTGTGGTGATGAAACAGTGCCATGTGCCATACCTTGATGGTCACACAAATCTACACATGTGAATAATAACAACTATATCCACACTTAATACCAGTATCAGTTTCCTGATAGTTACAAGAAGCCCATAGGCAGCCAGGCATGGTGGCTCATGCCTGTAATCCCAGCACTTTGGGAGACGGAGGCAAGAGGATTGCCTGAGCTCAGGAGTTCGAGACCAGCCTGAGCAACATGGCAAGACCTCGTCTCTACAATAAATCAAAAAATTAGCTGGGTGTGGTGGCACATGCCTGTGGTTCCAGCTACTTGGAAGGCTGAAGCAGAAGGATCACCTGAGCCCAGCAGGTCGAGGTTGTGGTGGCCCTGAGCATGCCACTGCACTCCAGACTGGGCAACAGAGTGAGAATCTGACTCAAAAAATGAAAATAAAAAAGGAGCCCTTGGGTGAACTAGCAACTCCTGTGTACTCTTCACTGATCCCCAGGGACTCTACTGTCTTTGCAACTTCCTGTGACTCAATAATTGTTTCAAAATAAAAAAAGGTAAAATAATAATAATTATTATAAATGCTTGTGATCTGTGAAACAGTACTAAAGAGAATCAAAGAGAAAGTTCTCCTTCCCCCACAATTCCCTGGCACATCCTATGGGAACTGATGGTGTGTGTCCAGGAAGGAGTGATGGGGGCGAGGGGTGCACGGAAGTACCCCAGGCAAAGGGAGCCATGAGATGCAAGACAGGAGGCTGGACCACTCAACTGAGAAGCTGGGCTGAGGCATTTTGGAAGATCTGGATCACGCGGATAATGGGGAGAGGTGGTGAAAGGGGCTTTACTTTTTACGGGCTTTTGCTCTCTAAAATCATTTACAACAAGCATGATTTGTGTACTGCTTGCCTTTCATGGAGATTTTTGTTATTAAAATATATCACTCTAAGTCAGATATGGTGGCTCACACCTGTATCCCAGCACTTTGGGAGGCCAAGGTGGGAAGATTGCTTGAGCCCAGGAGTTTGAGACCAGCCTGAGCTACATAGTGACACCTTGTCTCCACAAAAGAATAAAAAAATTAAACAGACCTGCATGATGTCCACTTGTATAACCAATCCTGAATTGCACCCCACATCTTTAAAATATGCAAAAAAAAATTTAGCCAGGCGGGGTGGTACACACCTGTAGACCTAGCTACACAGGAGGCTGAGGCAGAAGGATAACCCGAGGCTAAGACATTGAGGTTGCATGAGCCGTGATCGTGCCATTGCACTCCAGCCTGGGCAACAGAGTAAAACCTCAACTCAAAAAAATGTGTGTGTGCGTGTGTGTGCGTGTGCGTGTCATTCTGAATACTGTATGGATGGGGGTGCCAAAGGAGGAGTCATCTGGGAGGGATAAGGACAACCTGGACCAGGCCAGATACAGTGCAAGAAACTTGGTGGACTTGGAGGTGCAGTGAATGTGAAATCGGGATGGAGGGCTGGGAGGAGGAGGGATGCCCCTGGGTTTCCAGCACACCTGAGACCCACTGCAGGGCAGTCATGGGAAGGATGGTCCACCTCATGCATCACTTCATCTACAAATATTCATTAGTTTGGACTGTGGAGACAGGCCCTAAGAATACCGTGGAGGCATCCCAGGCCTGGGGGAGTTCCCAGCTCCCAGGAACAGGAGTCAGATGTTTGAGAATCACCTCTCAAACAAATATCACGTTGCAACTACAGCAGCAGCTCTGGATGAGCTCACACCCCTGCCCACACTTTTGCAGGGCAGGTGGCTTGACGTGCCATGACTGGTCATGTAGTACTAGCCTAGGTCTCCTCCTGAGGCCTGGGAGCCAGGCCAGGTCTTGTTTACTGCTGCATTCCCTGGGCCTTGGATACAGCAACCGTCAATCAAGATTTGTTGAAAGAATGAATGAAGATCAAAGAAGGTAGATCTGTGTGGAAGAGAACTCAAATCCTAGCTCCACTCTCTAAGCCTCAGTTTCCTCCCCTGCAACCAAGAAGTTGTGAAGGATGAACTGAGATAATGCCTGCAGGGAGCCAACTCTCAAAATGGCATGGGCCGTATTATAGAGGAGATGGGGAGGCTGACTTTCACTGTGATGTCCAAAAAGCAGCTGAGCAAGAATCAGCTCAAGAGAAGGCTGGGCTAGAGATAGAGTCAGCAAACAGAGAAAGCCACGGAGGCCATGGGAGTCAGTGAGTCCCCCAAGCTCCAAGAACACCCATGTTCAAAGGAGGAGAGCAGGGAAGAGGAAAAGGAGCTAGAGGAGGAAGTTCAGAAGCAAGAGGAAAACTAGGAGAGTGTGGCGAAAGAGAAGCCAAGAGACATCGTTGTAGGGGGGCGGGAAACAGCAGTATCAGTGGAGGGACCACCCTGCCGATGAACTCAGTGGACCTTCTTCCTTCTGTCTACAGATAGACAGTGAACATCAACTGGTGCTGGGCTCTCAACTGGTGCTAGAAGGCTGGGTGAGGAGTGGAGGAGTGAGCATAACAGCTAAGCAGTCTGGAGAGGGGAGTGGGCTGCCGGGCCCCTGCATGCACTCCCTCCAGCTGCTGTTGGAGTCCCTATCGTCCTAGGCTGCCAGGGCACTGTGACCCCCTGCCCAGCTTCAAGTCAGGGCCTGGTGCACACTGGGCCTCACTTAAAGTCTGCAGCACTGGACTTTGGGAACAGAGCAAACAGGGCCAGTCCCCTTCCCTTGCATGTCTCCCTGCCGCATTCCCAGTCCCCTGCTCAGCTTACCTCACCACAGACCAACCGCAGCCCCTCCTCCTCCTCATTCCACTTCACCCTCAGAGTAGCCAGCGATGGGAATTGGTTTGAGTCAGGCCCTGAGTCCTCCTCCCTGTCAACCAATCAGAGAGTGGCACTCAGTGTCCCCCAGTTCGCCCCATTGCCCAAAGGCATCCCGGGGATGCCCCATGAAAAGTAAGAGACGAGTGCCATCAACTTGATCCTGGGGAAGATGGAAACCAGCAAGCCAGGAAAGGAAAGAGCAAGTCTCCAGACATGAGCTGTCTGTGACCCTCTGCTCTGGACGCCCCTAGGCCTTGGGTTCCCAGGCCAAGAACCCTTCTAAGGAAGCACCTCCCAACTCTGAGCCCTACCCATTCCGGCTTCTCGTCTTCACTCCCTCTTTGGAATAGATAGTGAGACACTTTCTGTAGGTATCCGGTAAGGGACGGAGAGATGGAAAAACACTAAGATGAGGAAAAGACAGGACTGTGGGGGTGGGAGGGGAAGGAGATGGAACACAAGCAGAGAAACAGACTGAGAAGTGGAGTAGAGAAAGGAGACTCTAAGCAGCAGGCCTGTGGGAGGGCTCAAGGGCTTGCCTCCCCCACCCCCCACCCCCAGAGCAGCAGCCAGGGGCCAATGAGGTGCCAGGGAGAGAATGAACCCAGCAGAGGCTGTGGAGGCAGGACCCAGGCACAGACAGCCCATTGTGAACACAGACACACTCACCAGGGGCCCTGGTGGGTGGCAAGGGTGACATCCTTCGGCTCTGTCTGCAGCTTCTTTGAGAACTTGTCCAGCAGCTCAGCCTGCTCTAGGAGATGATTATCTAGGGTACAAGAGGGTGAGCCTGGGGCAGAGGCAGACACTTTCCAGCAGACCCCCACTACAAGCTACTTCTGGTTGCAGGAGCCCAGGGATGCTGGGAATGGGGAAGCTTCTGGCAGACTGGGGTCTGCCTCTTGCCTGAGGGGTGTCTGTGCAGCTCGACAGGACCTTCAGTCCTGGCACAGCCTCCCCACAGCACTGCCCCCCCAGGACCACCCAGAAGAGCACCTGCTCTCCCAGGGACAGAAGGACAGCCACTGCTGGGAGCATCCAGGGTGGCAGGGTACTGCCAACTGAGGGTCCTGAGGGAAGGAAGGGGCCTGGGGCTGACTCATCCCTGCCCCAGAGATGGGCTTGGCCCCAGAGATGGGTTTGGCCCCAGAAAGTGCTGAAACAAACCAAGCTCTACCTGTCTGTGGCCTTTGGCAAGTTACTTCCCTTCTAAGGGCTCTTACTCTCTGGACTGCCAAATAGTCCTAACTTCCCCTGGGTATTGGTAAAGCTCCTCCACCACCCCCCCAGGCCAGAATAGAAAGTTCTTGAGCAATTATCCAGCAGACCTTTGAGCTTGGTGGTTTGACCCTGGAACATACTCCACCCCCATCGGTGGTCACTTCCTCTTTTCTCACCAGCTCCAGGGTAGAGTGGAGGTGGAAAGCTCCAGGGTAGAGTGGAGGTGGAAAGCCCAGGCCTAGCTCCTCAGCTGCCTTCCCTCACTAGTGCCTTTCCTGTCACTTTGAGACCCCTAGGTCTAGTTTACTTCTCACACAAACCTTACCTCTGCCCCCAGGGTACTGCACCCTCCCCCTGCCCCAGCAAATCTAAAGAAGGTCCGTTTGACCAATTAACAAGTAAGAAACCTAAGGCCGGGCTCCGTGGCTCAGCCTGTAATCCCGCGCCTTTGGGAGGCTGAGGTGAGTGGA